GTAAAGGTCGCGACTGTCTCGTCATCGCTCATGTCGCACTCTTCACGTCTAGTATATTTTGAAGATTTTTCGACATATAGAAAGGCTTCTCTGGGCTGCCATCATTCTGCTCGGAATCTTCCACTAAAAAAATTGCATTCAGCTTTTATGGTTAAGCAGAAATTCTTAAAAATTAGTAGAACGTAGAATTGAGTAAACTCACAAAAGCATATAAAAGTTGTATCGACGGCCATCTCATAGACATCAAAGAACAAATCCGCAACGAAATAACTTCCTAAATCATTTATTGAGCCTTTTGAAGCAGGATAGAATCACTGCCTTACCTATCAAAACAATGATAATTGGTACAAAATAGTAATAGAGATCGACCCGTGGGATACCATCGACGACCCATTGACCGGAAAAGTAGAAAAAAGCGACGACTCCTAAAAGCGGCTTTGCTTAAGTAGTTTTACTTGTTGATACATAGCTCGAAGCCAGTTCAGATTTTTTTGAAAAATTAGCTATAAAAAAGCTGTGCACAGAAAGATTTCTAGTTTCCATCTACTTTTTCACATTTTTTCTTAGTAGCAAATAGGAGTCATTAAACAGACTGACGAATTTCAATTCTTCGTGACTCCAGCATGTTCAAAAATCAAAAGTCAAACATATTAGTGTTAGATGTTCTTGCCGAAACGAACGACTATTGTTCATTGTGATACATTTCAGCAAAATATATTGCCCATGTCATCTATTGCAACGATTGGGAATAATGGATGCTGTTGAGAATTATTTTCAAAAATTGCTCAAGCACAAGATTATTCTTTGCAAAATTCATATCTAGCGAAAACCTAACGAAATAATTTATAGAAAAAACGCCTGCTTGAGATTTTCTGCATTTGCTCGACTGATGCATAAAATGAATGTAGAATAGCAATTAGCTCAGAATATAAGATAGTAATATACATCACTCACTTCTATTGTAAGCATGTCGTAAAAACGAAAATTTAGCAATTAAGGTAAATAGATACTGATATACAACCTTGATCTCAACAGCGGCTTTATCAAACAGCTAACAACAAAAGAAAAGTACAATTATAACTTTTGCTGTCGATTTCAAGGATTTCAAATGGACGAAATACTACCTGGTAACCAACTGACTTGTGTTAGAAAACTTTTGCCAAAATGCTCATTCCTGGCGGGTGAATCATTTAGTCATCATTTCTTCCAAAACAATGA